CCGTTTACACCAGGCGATTGTTATTTTCGACTAAAAGTTGCCTGAAATTCGCCTCATGTAAATTCCCTATTAGGGACCAAATTCTATTTTATGTAATTTTTCACGCCTAGATGGTGCTGGGAGACATTTTCAGATTGGTTTCAGAAAATAAAAATTCCAATTCTCAATGATGTCCACTGAGTCGTTTACACATTCTCGTTGTTATAAGTTCTCTACCTGCGCTAGCGCGAATCGGTTAAAGGGAATTTACATGATTCAACTTTCACAGCCGACCAACTGCGTTGAAAGCGATTATGTAGTTGAAAGGCAATTGTTGCTTTCAACCAAAAATCGCCTCACGTAAATTTCCTATTGGGACCAAATTCTATTTTATGTCGTTTTTGACGCCTAGATGGCGCTGGGAGACTGTTTCAGATTGCTTTACTTCTTTCTTTTGGTCTAGTCAGCAACAATTCTCTTCGTATAACTCCACAATGTAAACAACGCAAGTGCGAGCGAGACAATCACATCCTAAAGTCAACTGTGAAAAATCATAGGAAAAGTTTTTCGACGAAGACGCAGTGAAGCAGTCACGCGAGGCAAACATCAGCAAGCTGAATAATGTAAATAAATATATTTTTTATTGGGGAAAAACATAAATGTGCTAAAAAAATGCAGAAAAATCAAGCAATTGAATTTTTAAAACGAAGCTGGTGCATCCAGTTTTTCATTCGAGGTTTGCGTGACGCTCGGACGCAGTGAACATCCAAGGTTTAACTTTCTTCGTCTTTGGACAAACTGTTTGCTGTGTGCGCGACATTTTATGGAGTTTAATTGCGTTGCTTTGTTTGATACAACAGGATTAATGTGCTATGCTCCAAGTGTATAATATGCAATATTTGTGAAATTATCTAATTTCGGTGTACTTAGGCAAGGCAATGTACTGCTTTATGCAATTTGAAAAATACATAGTAGAGAGAAAAACTGGCAATAATCCTAGAAAACCAGACAAAAGAAGCTGCCAATAGCTTCGCCTTTCACTTTGATCACAAACAATACAATAGTTTTTAGATTCAAGTTAACTTTTCTGCATATTTGGTTAAATGCAGTTGTCACACCGCTAATTCCGTTTTGTTCTTCTTGGAGGCCTGTGTTTAGTAGAAACGATTAATTTAAACAAAAACGACATATATTAAATCAAAAGTGCTATAAGTGATCATTTTCCTGTTAGTTTTCCGCTATTTTCGCATATACATACATATGTCTGTATATATGTACATGTGTATGTGTATGTAAATTTGTTTCTCGAAAGAAACAGTTCTTAATTTTTTGCGAGCCGCAAGGCTTTTGATAGTTAAACACACATGTGTACATACGTACATACATACACAAATACTCACCTGAGTAACTCCAATGCCAAATATATCTATGTGGATTTTCGTCGTATTCTCTGTTAAAGCAATTTAAAAATTAGTAAACCTGATTCTAAAAATTAAAAACCGCAAAAAAAGAAACCGGGGAAAGGTATTTTAAGAATATGAAAATATGTGTAAAGAAGATACATAGGCGAAAAAGAAACAAAAAATCAAAAGCAATTGTTGCAGAAGAAAATAATCAGAAGGAGGTAAATACGAAGAGTAAGCAATAAAATCGGCAGCTGTTTTTGTTTACTTCGGTGTATATACTTGCATATGTATGTATGTATGTATGGGAGTGTGTACTTTAGTACTCTCTTCGCGTTTTCCTCTTCGTTTGTATTCGTATGTTATATGTTATGTAGAATGCTTTTATTACATAGAACTGTAGGTGCCCTGCAGTAAAATTTAGAGACAGTCTGTCAAAGCGCTAGTTCCGAACTACTACACATTGTATATCAGGACTAGCTCTGAACTAGTGCAAAGCGGATGCAGAGTGGGACAGTTGAAACTTGCGGTGTAAATGTGCGAATACTCACTATTCGTACAATATGAAAGTAGCTCAACGAGAAGACTTCGGACTCAAGCATCTTTGGTTGCGAGTTCCAAACGCGGTGGAGGCAATTTTTAGTTTTCAAATTTAATGAACTTAAATTGTGGCGTGCAGCTTACAATCATTTTCTTCTTCTTTTTTAAATATGTAACAAAAATAGAATCTGTAAAAGAAAAGAAAAAACGAAAAAAATATCCAAAAATCGTAACTTAAAAACGGTTTTTTTGTAAAAAAAAAAA